TAATTTGGAATTGTGAATTCTGAAGTTTTGATACTGATATGTTGTAACTGTATAATTTTGCAGTTTGGAATTGTGAATTGTGAAGTGTTGATACTGATATGTTGTAACTGTATAATTTTGTAGTTTGGAATCTGCGAACAATTGTTTGCTGGTTTGTGATTTTGTAATATAGAGGGGTGTTTCATGTTAATGTGCAAATACAGTAACTTTTGTATTGTTATTAAGATTAGTAAGGGATGTAGTTATCATGAAGTTGTTGAGAAAATATTTACGAAGTTCAAGGAGTTGAGTGTTGGTAACTTCTATTTGTTTTTCTCTATTCCTGCATATTCTAATTGTATTGTTGAATGTGATGATGATTTGGGGAATATGGTGTGAATGATAGGTTGCAGTGGTTCTCATGTTGTTGATGTTGTTGTGGGTGATAGGAGAATTGTGGAGGTTTATGACAATTCTTCTAGGATTGATTATGTAATTTGTGAGAGTTCTTTGGTTAACGATTGTGATGATTTTGGTGGTTTGTTGCATAATTTTTATCCAGAACAGAGAGAGTTTTGTTGTCTGCTAATTGGAAGGGGGTTATACACAGTGTTAGTCAAGAATTTGAAGGTGGAGTGCCGGCGTTCCGTATTGCATTGGCTAAGTATACAGTTGAGTATGGTTTTGCAGTGAATTATTTAAAGAACAATGCAACAAGTGTAACTGCTGAATGTATGATGAAGTCGTCTACGAGTTGTAAATGGTTTGTGCATGGAAGGTGTTGATGAATTCTGGTATTTTTTTTATTATAAAGTTGGATAATGCGCATACTTGTGGGGCTGTTGCTCGTAGATCTTGTAGCAAAATGGTTGGTTCTAGACTTGTGTCTGATATTGTGTATAATGATATTAGTGATAATCTGTTGACTCGTCCTATTGAAGTTAAAAAAAAGTTGAAGAAGGAATATGGTATAGATGTTTCTTATCGAGTTGCATGGTTAGGAGTTAATAAGGTAAGAGGTGGGTTGTTTGGTGATTTTGCATATTCTTTTGACCAACTTCGATGGTACCTTGAGACGAGTATGAGAACGAATCCCGGAAGTGTGTTTGAATTAGATGTGGATAAAAGTAGTAGGTGTTTTCAGAGGTTGTTTGTGGTATTTCATGGATATTTGTATGGCTTTCAATTTTGTTGTCCGTTGTTGTTTGTTGACGGTACATTCTTGAAAGGGCATTACAAGGGGCATTTGCTTACAGCAACATCAAAGGATGGTAATCAAGAAATGTATTTATTTGCAGTTAGTATAGTTTTGGTTTGTCAGTGTGTTTTGGTAGTCAATGGATTTTGGTTTCTATTATTGTATTGTGAGTCTGCTAATTTTTACAGTTTCATGTTATTTTGTTTTTAGGCCTGTTTGCTTTGGCTTTTGCGATTGTTGACGCTAAAAATCTAGATAATTGGATGTGGTTTTTAAGTCAATTGTTAAAAGTTATTGGTTAAAGCCGGCAGTTTGACCTTTGTGCCTGACCGTCAACATGGATTGCTAGACGCTCTTTCAATAATTTTTCCCAATGCACGTCATGCATATTGCTTGAACCATTTGAAGAGAAATTTGATTGACAGATTGGTGGGACTTTGTACTAACTATAAGCTGACTTTGATGAAAATATTAGCTAAATGTGCTTATGCGCCAACTGTTGCTTCTTTCCAATATTATATGGAGAAATTGAGGCATATTGCTGGGAATGGTAGAGTTGATAGTATATTGGATGGTTTGCAAAATAATAAGTGGGCGAATGCATTTTTTAGAGGGAAACGATATGGTGAGATGTCATCTAATGCTGTCGAGTCTTACAATAATTAGATTGGTGGGGCCCGTGAGTTGTCTATTACTTATATGGTTGATATGATTAGGGTTCAAATCATGATTCAATTGTCTAATAGAAGAGCTGAATCTAAAAGATGGACTACCAAATTGTGTCTAGTTATGGAAAAAAAAGTTGGTGGACTCTTTGAAGCTAGCTAAGTCTTGGAATGTGATTGTTGATAGTGATATTGTGTTTGAGGTTCATTCTTCTATTTCTTTTTATGTTGATATTGGTAGACGGACTTATTCTTGCCATGAATGGCAATTGAATAGTTTTCGTTGTTGTCATGTTGTGCATGCTTTGCATAGTAGTAGTAGAGATGTGTATGATTTTATTGATCCTTTTTTTCGTGTGGATTGTTTTAGAGAGTCGTACAAGGAATCTATTTATCTAGTGCCTTCAAGTGAGAGATTTGACTTTGATGGTGCTGATAGTTCGATTATCAAACCTCCTATAACGAAGAAGCAGCCTTGGCAGAACAAGAAGAAGATGATACCTTCTAGGGTGAGAAAGTAAAGCAAATCAAGTGTGGGAGGTGCTTGAAATATAAGAATCACAATACGAAGACATACAAGGTTGCTATTCGAGGCCATAGTCCATTCTTTTGGATTTATATTTGAAGTTGAGGAATTATGATAATAATATGTAATACTTAGTATTATGGAAGTAATGAATAAAGTTGGTTGCATTCTTTTTTCTTTTTCAATATGTTCTTTAGTTATTGAAATTGTTTTATAATAGTGTTTTTTTTTTTTTTTTTTGTGTGTGTTTGTGTGTGTGTGTGGAGTTGGTTGGTTTTACTTTTGTGGAATGCTGAGAATGTTGTTGAAAATTTCTTATTGAAACTGTATAATCTTGCAGTTTTGCTACATTATATATTTATTTAATATTTCGTAGTGACAAAACTATATAATTTTGCAGTTTTATTTACAATTTTGAAATGTAGTTCATCTATTTGTTTGAGTCATGAAATTGGATAATTTTGCAGTTTCAAAAATTATGTAGGAAATACATATTATAATGCGTGGAAGGCACTCACGATAATAAAACTGCATAATTGTGTAGCATAATTTTTGTTTGAGTGATGAAGTTGCATAATTTTGCAGTTTTAAGAATTATGAAAAACAACCTGATGAAACACATAATTTTACAGTTTTAAGAATTATTAGAAACAACTTGATGAAACTACATAATTTTGCAATTTTAAGAATTATTAGAAACAATATTTCCTGTATAAATTTATATGCAACCACAAATGTGACGACAATAATAAGCACAAGAATACAAACAAAAATAATAACCACATGAAGAACAACAACAAGAATAATAACAACAACAAGAGCAACAACAACATCAATGACAACAATCATTTTCACCATGATAACCATAAGAAGATCAATTACCAAAAGCATAAAAAGTACTTGTCACATGTAAATATAAAAAAAAATGTAAAAAAATATGTTCACATGAGTATTTGTATTGTAAAGAAGTTTGTTCATTGTTTCTATGGTTTGATATGTTTTGTCAACATTTGGTAGTGCTCGAGTTTCCAAGATCGGTTCTTATCATTGAGGAATTGACTAATGATTTTTGCTCGAAATCTGACCCACTCAGTTGGTCAAAGTGATTTCTGCACAGGTTGCTAGTTGATATATTGGTTGATAACATTGCAGACGGCGATTGCACAATCATTCTTACAAAGTTTTAGATGAAGTTAATTAGTTAGGTAAAATTGCAAAATTTAACATATTGAAACATTAGTTATTGAGCTTGTATCTTACAAGTGTGGGGTTTGTTGTGGGCATTCCTCAATTGATGCAATTACTGTCTCGCACTCTTGAAATGATAACATGTTTCCTTGATTGCTAAATAATGCTTTATTCCATCTCAGTTGATGTTGTTGCTACAAAATAGTTAGTGGGTATTTTGTTAGTTATAGTGATGTGCTCAGATGTTTTGAAAGGAATGGAACTAAGTAGGAAATTTTATTTAACTTATAATTTTCTTTGCAATTTCAAAGTACTTCTTGTGACATCCTTTTGCTGGCCTCAAAGAGTCATAGTGTCTCCATATTCCATCAGCATTGTCAAAGATCACAATCGCCCAATGGTTGTCATGGTTGATTGGGAAATTGATATATCTGTTTTTCATTGCTTCTGGAAAATGGATGTCCATTATTTTTTCTCTCAGTGCCTGATCTTGGTTTTGTAGTGGAGTCTATAATTTATATATGTTTGAAATATGTTATAAAAGTATGTAGTAAGACATGTTGAGAAAGTAGAAAATTTTGCAGTTTAAATAATATTGAAAGGTAAATAGTTTTGCTTACATTGATGAGTGTTGAGAAAACGTAAGATCTTCTTGCGTATGAATTTCTTGCAAAGCTAGATCATGTTTATCAAATTCTTCAATTGATGGTTAGAGTGCCAATTTCATTTCTGTGAAGGCATTAATGACCTAAAACATGTTTTATATGAGAATGTGTTAGGTTTGTGGAATAGGTTATTGCATATGAACAGAAACTGTAAAATTGTGCAGTTGGAGACCTACATTTCCATATAAGGCTTCCCTGTTAGACAATCTGCATATATCTGAAAAGTATACGCAGTTTTCATCTTCACTGCCAGACCAGACACAAGCACTTGATTGTGTGTTGTTGATGAGTTGAATTTGGTCTTGGTCTTTTTTGGATAGGCTATGCCAAACCTTGTTTGTTTTGCGGCATGAAATGGTGAGTGGCTTGTTTGGGATTGATTCTTCCTGGAAATCATCATCACTTTCCAATACTTGAAGATTTGTCTTCTTTTGATTGGCATGCTCTTTTGGGTTTGTTTCAGCAGCAACTGGTTTCTCTTGGCCAATATGTTCTTGCATCTTTTCTTTCTGCTGTTGTTTTGCTTCATGAGCACCCTCTGTTTTGTTGTCATTCTTCTTCTCTTTTTCTTCATCAGTACCCTGTGTTGGTTTGGGTACATCAGCAGCAGTTTGTGTCTTGTTTCTTGCATCTTCTTTGGGTTTGGTCATTGGTTGGTATTCAAAATCTGGGTCATGTGCTTGTTTTCTTGATTTTTGTTTGATTCTCTTGACCATGGATCTTTGTTGGGGACTGCCAGTTTTTTTGGTGGACATTTCCTTCAATTGATCTTCTTTTTTATGCAATTCAGCCATGAATTTTTGTTCCATTTCTTGCATTTGTGCTCTCAGGGCTGATATGAGCTTGTCCTTGTCGTCCTCTTTGGTTGGTGTTTGTGGTTGGTCATGACCTATAAAAATGTTGGATTGTGTTTTGGTTAGTTTAATGAAATTTTGCAGTATGATTTAGTATTAGACAATAGTTTACCTTGTGCATGAAGTATGTCAGATTTCTCTTGCAGTTCTTCTTGTTGGTTTGTCAGTTCTTGTTCATTGACTTCTTCTTGTTGGTTTGTTTGTTGTTCTTCTTGTTCTTGTTGTTGGTCTTCTTCTTTTTCTGGCGATTCTTCTTCTTCTTCTTCTTCAGTTTCAGTTTCTTCTTCTTCATCAGTTTCTTCTTCATCAGTCACTTGATTTTTTTCATCATCACTCTTTTCTTCTTGTTCATCACTTTCTGGTTCTTCTTGTGGTTTTTGCTTTCTTTTCTTTTTTTTTTGTTGTGCTTCTTTTTCTGATTGTGATTCTGATTCTGAATGATGTTCTTCTTCGAGAAAATCATCCTCATCACTGTCTAGAAGTGTTCTTTTTTTTGTTGCTTTTGTTTTCTTTTTTTGCTTATTGTCCTTTTTGTGGTCTTGTTTCTTTGCTGAAGAGTCTGTTGATGTGCTTTTATTTTGAGAAGATTTTTTTGACTTTTTGTGAGAGAAAGAATGTAATGATTATGTGTTAGATGTGATATTTTATCTTATTAGACTAAAAAATTATTTTTTTTGGTGTGTGGCTATTTTAGCTAAAAAAATCCAACTTTTTTTCTTCCCAAACGGAGCCATAGTAATAGAGTTTTAGATGAGTTTGATGGTAACTTAGGGTATTGGCATTCCAACCTCGACGCTTCCATGCGTCCGAGGAGCCAACCGCTGTAAGGCAGAAACTCTGTGCGGATCCCGCGCCCTGGCATCCTCCTTGCATCGTGCTTTCTCTTCGAGCACGGTTCGTAAGTCGGATGATCTGGGTAATTCCGTCTGTCTAGATCTAGTTTGATGCGAATGAGAGGGCCAGTATGTGCTTCCTTCAGTGTATGATCTTTCCGACTTTGTCCTCTCAGACCTGGAGTGACGAGTTCTGGAAGACCATGATTGAATATCGCCTGTCCTGAGGCTTCTACTCTCTCCTTGTGAGGGTGTAGTATTCCTACTACGATTTTCTGAGTGGCGAGGGGGCGTCTTGTTTTTGCGCCCTTCTCCTGTCGCCACTTCTTTTTTCTTCATCTGGCGTTTCAAGGTCTCCATGTCCGCCGCCATCTTTCTTATCAATTCATCTTGCTCTTTCACGCGGTCTTCCAGAGCTTGAGGGTCAATCCTCCGTCTTTGCCTGTCAGGACTTTGTGAACGAGAGCGATGGGGGCTGTTATTTCGCCTTCCCCTAGTATCCCTCCTGGAGTTATGTCGTTGGGGCTCCAAGTCTGCCATGGGAGGGACAGAAGGTAATCCTTCATGCCTTGCGCCCCCATCTGGAGTTAGTCCGTCGACGGCGGACTGCGGTAATTCTTCATTGTGTGCCATTGATTGTAAAGGGGAGAAGCTTTAATCAAGAGGTTTTGTTCTGTTTGTTTTTCCCACAGACGGCGCCAATTGTATGGGAAAGAAATAATTCTCCTCGTATAATCCTGTTGACTAAGTCCACGCTCCTCTGTACGACGTCGCTTTGTCACCTGAAAACACAAACGTGAGCTAGCCGGCGGGTGTGTGCCGGAAACCTCTCCGATGCCTAAGTCAGCAAACTTGACAAATAGACACAGCTCAATGTATTCAGAAAGCAAAATTGTATGTTGTGTTTTTGTGTCACCTCCTCCAAGGTGATGTTTGTGAGCTTTTATAGGTTTCGAGTGGCACAATCCTAGTAGGACTTTTATTCCTCCATGCAGAGTCCTCCTAGGATTCATACTCCTACAGGATAATGCTTATCCTTTTACACCCTCCCCCACTGCCTAAACCAAGTGGGATGGTTTCTACCATGGCCGAACTACCATACGACCGAGATAAACCTGGCTATGCTGAGCCACAGAGTAGGCCGAACTATCCTTAGTTCGGTTCTTCCGTTAATCTTTCCTATCTCGGCTTTCCATGTAGAACTCATGGTACGGTTTAGACCGAACCAACGATTCGCGACCGGTATAACTCCAAAACCGGTATAACTCCAAGACCGGTCTAACTTCAAGTTGCTTCCGGACCGAAGTAGCTTTACAATTCCTGAGCCGAAGTAACTTCATCTCTTTTGGCCGGAGTAACTTTATCTCTCTTGGGCCGGAGTAACTTCTCTGCCCTTTTTACCTAGTCCTTCGTACTTTGGGCCATAAAGTCCATCTCATAGCTCGGCCCAATTTTCACCAAAAATTACCCTCTCACTTGCCATAAATGGCAATTGAATAGTTTTCCTTGTTGTCATGTTGTGCATACTTTGCATAGTAGTGGTAGAGATGTGTATGCTTTTATTGATCCTTTTTTTTCGTGTAGATTATTTTAGAGAGTCGTACAAGGAATCTGTTTATCCAGTGCCTTCAAGTGAGAGATTTGACTTTGATGGTGCCGGTAGTTCGATTATCAAACCTCCTATAACGAAGAAGCAGCCCGGGCAGAACAAAAAGAAGAGGATACCTTCTAGGGGTGAGAATGTGAAGCAAATCAAGTGTGGGAGGTCCTTGAAATATGGGAATCACAATAAGAAGACGTGCAAAGCTGCTATTTGAGGCCATAGTCCATTCTTTTGGATTTATATTTGAAGTTGAGGAATTATGATAATAATATGTGATACTTAGTATTATGGAAGTAATGAATAAAGTTGGTTGCATTCTTTTTTCTTTTTCAATGTGTTCTTTAGTTATTGAAGTTGTTTTATAATAGTTTTTTTTTTTTTTTTTGGTGTGTGGAGTTGGTTGGTTTTATTTTTATGGAATGCTGAGAAGGTTGTTGAAAATTTCTTATTGAAACTGTATAATCTTACAGTTTTGCTACATGATATATTTATTTAATATTTCGTAGTGACAAAATTGTATAATTTTGCAGTTTTATTTACAATTTTGAAATGTAGTTCATTTATTTGTTTGAGTCATGAAATTGGATAATTTTGTAGTTTCAAAAATTATGTAGAAAATATATATTATAATACGTGGAAGGCACTCACGATAATGAAACTGCATAGTTGTGTAGCATAATTTTTGTTTGAGTGATGAAGTTGCATAATTTTGCAGTTTTAAGAATTATGAGAAACAACTTGATAAAACACATAATTTTACAGTTTTAAGAATTATTAGAAACAACCTGATGAAACTACATAATTTTACAATTTTAAGAATTATTAGAAACAACCTTTCCTGTATAAATTTATATGCAACCGCAAATGTGACAACAATAATAAGTACAAGAACACAAACAAGAGTAATAACCACACGAAGAACAACAACAAGAATAATAACAACAACAAGAGCAACAACAACATCAATGACAACAATCATTTTCACCATGATAACCATAAGAAGATCAATTACCAAAAGCATAAAAAGTACTTGTCACATGTTAAAAAAAAATGTAAAAAAATATGTTCACATGAGTATTTGTATTGTAAAGAAGTTTGTTCATTATTTCTATGGTTTGGTATGTTTTGTCAACATTTGGTAGTGCTCGAGTTTCCAAGATCGGTTCTTATCATTGAGGAATTGACTAATGATTTTTGCTCGAAATTTGACCCACTTAGTTGGTCGAAGTGATTTCTGCACAGGTTGCTGGTTGATATATAGGTTGATAACATTGCAGACGACGATTGCACAATCATTCTTACAAAGTTTTAGATGAAGTTAATTAGTTAGGTAAAATTGCAAAATTCAACATATTGAAACATTAGTTAGTGAGTTTGTATCTTACAAGTGTGGGGTTTGTTGTGGGCATTCCTCAATTGATGCAATTACTGTCTCACACTCTTGAAATGATAACATGTTTCCTTGATTGCTGAATAATGCTTTATTCCATCTCAGTTGATGTTGTTGTTACAAAATAGTTAGTGGGTATTTTTGTTAGTTATAGTGATGTGCTCAGATGTTTTGAAAGGAATGGAACTAAGTAGGAAATTTTATTTAACTTATAATTTCCTTTGCAATTTCAAAGTACTTCTTGTGACATCCTTTTGCTGGCCTCAAAGAGTCATAGTGCCTCCGTATTCCATCAGCATTGTCAAAGACCACAATCGCCCAATGGTTGTCATGGTTGATTAGGAAATGGATATATCTATTTTTCATTGCTTCTAGAAAATGGATGTCCATTGTTTTTTCTCTTAGTGCCTGATCTTGGTTTTGTAGTGGAGTCAATAATTTATATATGTTTGAAATATGTTATAAAAGTATGTAGTAAGACATGTTGAGAAAGTAGAAAATTTTGCAGTTTAAATAATATTGAAAAGTATGTTAATAGTTTTGCTTACATTGATGAGTGTTGAGAAAACGTAAGATCTTCCTGTGTATGAATTTCTTGCAAACGCTAGATCATGTTTATCAAATTCTTCAATTAATGGTTAGAGTGCCAATTTCATTTCTGCGAAGACATTAATGACCTAAAACATGTTATATAGGAGAATGTGTTAGGTTTGTGGAATAGGTTATTGAACATGAACAGAAACTGTAAAATTGTGCAGTTGGAGACCTACATTTCCATATAAGGCTTCCCTGTTAGACAATTTGCATATATCTGAAAAGTATATGTAATTTTCATCTTTGCTGCCAAACCAGACACAAGCAGTTGATTATGTGTTGTTGATGAGCTGAATTTGGTTTTGGTCTTTTTTGGATAGGCTATGCCAAACCTTGCTTGTTTTGCGGAATGAAAGGGTGAGTGGCTTGTTGTGAATTGATTCTTCCTTGAAATCATCAACTCTTTCCAAATCAATCGCTACTTGAACTTGTGTCTTCCCTTGATAGGCTTCCTCTTTTGGCTTAGGCTCAGCAGCAGCTTCTTTCTCTTGGCCGGTATCTTCTTTTATCTTTTCTTTCCCTTGCTCTTTTGCTTCATCAATACCCTCTTTTGGCTTGGGTTCAGCAGCAGCAGCGTCTTTCTCGTTCCTTGTATCTTCTTTGTCATTTTGTTTCTGCAGATTTTCTTTTTCTTCATTATTCTTCTTTGTTGGTTTGGGTACATCAGCAACAGCTTCTGTCTTGTTCTTTGTATCTTCTTTGGCTTTTGTCATTGGTTGGTATTCAAAATCTGGCTTATGTGCTCATTTTCTTGACTTTTGTTTGATTCTCTTGACCATTGATCTTTGTTGGGGACTTCCAGTTTTTTTGGC